TGCTTATCTAAAAATTGCACCTTACACTTTTAGACCATTGCTCATCTACAAATCACACCTTACAAATATATAAATTTAAACAGTATCCTTTCCGTGCATAAAAACCAAAATAAAAAGCATAATGACGTTTTGTAGTCGAAGTTTTCTTGGATTCTACAAGCATCCCGCCTTCAACTATCTCTTTAATTAAAGAAGACTCAATGTATCATTCTTTAATTTCATCTATTTTTATAAATTATAGTTTGATTATAAGAGAAAGCAGTTTAGGACAACCAGAAAAACTCAGTTTTAAAAGTCACAGTTTTTAAAACTGCGACTTTTAAAACGAATTTTAGTTTACCTGATTTTCACGTTGCTTGTTAGTTATAAAAAAAGATTTCACCGATATTTTATTTTGAATTGCTGGTTTCAATAATGTTTTTTTTGAATCATTGGTTTCAAAAATGCTGATATGTCCTTTTATTGTTATTATTTATAAAAAACTTTCATGAAGCAAAAGAAAAAATATCATGAGTTCAAAGATGATATTGTCAAAGTAAAAGGCTTATTTTCCCTGTTTAACCAAATCAAACATATATCAGTACGCCTTGCTTTTAAAAAAATAAAGACAAAACAGTTATTGTCATACACCTAGAAAATTAGAAATTCCAGAGAGATGTTATAAAAATAAAATATCAAGTCAAAAATGAAGGAAACAAACTTTTGAATTGCATTGTCCCAATGTTTTATCTTCACGTGTAAAATCTACATCACTATCTCTACTATCCTTTTATAAAAATGCCTTCTTTTCGATGCTTTTAAACTAAACTTATAATACTAACTTCTTCAGATCACAAAATGTTTACTGTTAGAAGTAATATTATTTACCTAATGGAAAAAAAAATTATACTGCTACAAAATCTACTAAAAACATTATTTTACTAAAATTGTTATATAAATAATAACAAGAAATGTGTTCAATCAAGGAAAACAATTTTCTATCCTTTCAACTTATTTACAATGATATTCAGCAACATATACAAAGAAATTTAACTGAAATAAATATTACCATTGAGAAAATATGCATAACTGATCCTATTAAATATATAGATTATAATAAAATTTAGAAAAATTCAGACTCATGGCTAAACAAAATAACTTGAGTCGAAATTCTTGTTGTGTATATTCTGGAAAAAATTCAAAAGTACCACACTAGTTTTCACTATCTGGTATTAAATATAGATATGTAAATATTGCTGAAAAAATACAACTTTCATGTGCTGAAATACCATTATACATCAAATACCATAATACTTATTCAGTTTGTGTATTATTATAGTGAGAAAACTCAAGAGTGCTAAAATTAAAATTTGCAGTTAGAAATTGTGTTGAACTTTTTGAAATTGTGCACAGTCTATAGTCATTTAAGTTAAACGATTTCCATTATTGACAAATATTTTGCAAATTCTTTTTCGATAAATAGGATAATCTGGTTGAAGTACAACATTGTCAAACAATGGCACAAAATACTATCCATGCATCAAAAAATATTAGTTATGCATTTGGAAACTGGTAAAACATGGGCCATAACAACCAATGCATGAATACAAGTTATAAAATATAGTTATTAAATAAAGCTATAGCTCAATTACCAGTGCCTTTACAATCTTAAAATGCAATAGTAAATATGGACTAGTTGTATCAAATAAAACATTGCAGTTGGATAAAAGGTGTTTTTATTATAAAGGATTATTTTTGATTAATGTATTAGGTTTTAATAACTTTGTTGATAAAGATTTACTTTTCACTTTTAATAATAATTGATTATTAAATTTTGGGAGAACTTTTACTTTTATAGACTCTAATTTTATTTTTCTAGTATCTTTCTGCATTATCTTCTTCTAGTCTTTTTTTAATGGTTTATTTTTTTACAATGAAAAAAATAACAAAACTAAATTATTTTGTCTATTATATTAAGATAAGATATTTTAAAATTATTCTTTAAGAAACCTTTGAGATGATAGGAAATAGTATGAGGAGTTTCTTAAAGATTCGGGTTGTTAGCAATATCTAGTTTTATTGTATATCAATTCAATTTATATCTATCAGAAGGTTTTGGTTCGTGAATGATTAAAGAATTAACTAATAATAATTAATAACAGAGTAAATTAATCTGTTTGAACTCAATTTTTCATTTTTTGCATCAACTTTTATGAATAACATACTGTATTACTGATAAAGATTATAGATGTTACCTATATTTGAACTCCAATCTTCATAAAATTAAGAAGATTGAACTAAAAAAAAGTATTATTCAATAATACTTTATTAAGTCCTATCTCCTTTTATTTGTACATACGTTATTGTAACATAAATATGAAGTATAAAACCACATTATATTGTTAATATCTTTGTAATAATAGTTATTTCTACAAAAAACACCCAAATTTTGACTACTAAAGACATTTACAAAATCCAAAACAAAGAAAAACCTTTTATAATTAACTAAACAAAGCCGCCATTTCGTTTATTTATCCCCCTTTGAAATAAAACCGCACGCTGTGAAAGTCCCTAATTAGGTGTACCACAAGAGATAAATTTACTATTCAAAACGAGGTAAAGTTAATACTTTTTACAACTTGGAAAAATGCAAAATTTTGATACTTAGAAAACTTTTTAGGCATAGCCACTATGGTTTTTGAATTCCCCGTATATTTAAGTATATAAAACAGTTCAGTTATTTTTTTTGATTTTTTGAAAAATTTTGGAGGTTTATATCCCTTAAGAAAAAAAGTAAATTTTTGACTCCAATAAAATATGTTATTTTGCAAAAAATAAATGGAATAAAAACTTTTCTAATAAAAAAACAAAAAAAAATTGTCGAAATTATGAAAAACTGAAGGCATTTTATTAAAAAGCCGTGACCGCGACTTTTTAATAAAATACTTTTATAATTCAACAGTTAGGTACTAATAGATACTATGACAAAAATCATTAACAACAATAACTAACCTTTTCTGGAAAAAGTCTTTTATCTGATATTGCTTCAAATTATCCGTCTTTTCTATTTTCATTAAATCCTCAAGTTTTAGTGCAAAGGATTGTATTTCATTTTCATATTTTGGAAATACTAATTTCAAGTACTGAGCACGAAAAGATGAGTCAAGCTTCTTTACCCATTCTGTAAAAAGGCCTCCGGTCACCCAACTTTTTAGCTGATTTAAAACACCCTGGGGTTGTAAATTTTCCAATAACAATTATATGTAATGTTTCTCCCGTTGCACTCCCTGCATCCATGCCTGTTAGTCTGACTTTACTATTTTTCCCCCCGAAACATTTTTCTTGTGATAAATGGTACATTTTTTTTGGTAGGCACTGGTAAAATATTTCAATCTTATCGGCATTAAAATTGTTTTCAAGTTTGTAATTCGAAAGCAATGTTGGAAGCAATTTTTTATATTTAACCGCGGTTGATATTGTGTCTTTTGGGACACCATACTTTTTGGTGTCCTGTTTGTTAGACACTCTCTCTCCAGGTATTTTTCTATTATAGATTTGTTTGTAAGTTCTCGTTTAACAAGCGGCATGTTACCGCGATTGACAAAAACAATAAATTAATCTTTTAGAGATGTTTATCAATTACTAGAAGGGCTTGATGTTTGAGAGTATAAATTGTAAATTGGATTAGATTCACTCGTTTAAAGGTTCAGCTAAATTTGTAACCAGAATTCCAAGTATCTTAATTCAGGTTAAACAAACGCACACACAACTTTATTACCTTATGCAAAATCAACTAAAGTGGAAACTAGAAGGACTTGGTTTATCTAACTGAGAGTATATATATATATTTTTAATTATTATTTAAGGTGCCCCAAGAAGACCTAACGGTCTTCTAACAATGCAACCTTTATCAGCTGCAGCGACGCTAGTACTCAAGTCCCTTGTTTGTTTCTGAGGCAGTTGGAAATTAAATAGGCCTACTGGAAGGGCATGCTATTCCGTGTGTTATTGGCTTAACAAAAAATGTTATTGAAAAACATCTTTTTGAATTTAAAGGTGGTCTACCGTTCCGTTGTGAAGGTCGACACATGTTGATGATGTTGGGAAGACCATTTGTAAGATTTAATTTTTCCTAAAGAACCATAAAACCTTAGAATTATGTTTGAATATTTATGTTTAAATATTTATTTTATAACTGAGTGTCTCAATGAGCTCTAAAACACGAAAAGTTAAACATTGTTTCTTTGATTTTTCGTACTTTGCAGTTTGTAATGTTGATGCGGTTTGAACTTGTGATGTTTTTATAACCTAAATTGAGTGAAAAAGTAGGCAGTAAGACAGTTTTTGTAGGTCTAGAACTTAATTTTCTAGAGGGATCAGCTGAAGCCGCCCTTCTTTTAATAAATATATTAGCCCCAATGGTCTTAATTATTTACAAAATATCGATGTAAAAGATTTTTACAAAGCTATATTTATTTTCATATGTTTTATAATACATAATTATAAAAACACAATTGCAATATGCTAAATGATTGACTTAGATGAGCAAATTTCTTTTTAAAATAATAATATCAGTTTAAGACATTGTTGAAATTTTAAACATTTTTTAAAGTTTAAGCCGTTTGTTGATCAGTTGCTAACTTTTCTTTAATTGTGGAATTATTTATTGGTTTACTGTTGTTTGAGAACAATATTACAAAATAAAAAGAAACTTTGATTTATAAAAAAAAAATTTTTTTTAACATTATTTATTTAGTTTTCTGAACTTTACTAGATGCGCTTGAACGCAGAATATTTTGTTGATAAACAAAAGCCATCAAAAATTTGCTTGCCGCTAAGTAAGTTCTGCACGAACAAGACAACCAACAAAAAAATGCTTAACATAAAGTAGCAGGTCGCTGTATAAGAGTTTCGAAAACTCATTGAATAGGAAAGTAATCAATCAATATATTCACTAATCACTCACAAAAATAAATTAAAATAAAACATTTGAGATCTGTTATATGATTTTATTGATTGTCTGAAACGAGTTTTACTATTTCCTTACTTCATTAACAACAAACAAAAATGACTCGAAAAGTGCTTTTCATTTTAAGGAACTTAAGTCTAGCTATATATATTGAGTATACTTAGAGATCACGCCTTTATACTGAATAGTTAATTTTCGTTTGTATTGACTTTCTTCTTACTTTGTGTTTGTCTTACCTGATATGTCAGTCGTAATAATTGTTATAACATAAAGGCTACAAACAAACAAGGTAATTTAATTTATATATATATATATATATATATATATATATATATATATATATATATATATATATATATATATATATATATATATATATATATATATATATATATATATATATATATATATATATATATATATATTATTGTTAAAGAGCTTTCCGTGAGTGTCCAATTAAAGATATTTATCATAAAACTGCTACTGTGTCAACCATTTATCTTAAGTTACTGTTAATACTGTTTATTGTGTTGCTTTCTTGATATAAAAAGCGCTCAAAAAATTACAATTCTCGTTTTTTTGTAAATGTTTTGAAGTTTTATTTTTTAAACCTTATTCAAAATAGAAGGCAATTTTTGCAAAATAGTAAGTTCTAATTTTATTTATTTTTAATCAAATTACATGCACTAAAAGACAATTAGGTTATTGTTATTTTTGTATTTTAAAATTGTATATTATATTTTTTTTTTATTGTATAACTTTAGGAGAACATTGCAATTTGATTTATATCAACATTTGAAGTTTTTACTTATTTAAAGGTTTAACTAAATTTCTAACCAGAATTCCAAGTATTCAGGTGTAAACAAACACACACACAAAATACTATAAAGTAAATGTGTCAATATTTTTTTTGTCAATACGAAATTGTTACACATCTATTTAAGATGAATTTAATAAAGAATATTAGTATAACCACAGTGAAGCAAATATTTAAAGTCTATTTATTTTAGTTGACACAAATTGCATTGATGCACAAATAAATACATGAAATACAATCAACAAAACTAAAATTCATCAAAATTATGTGTTTATAAAATATAAACACACGAAGTATTAAATTATAATAACCCCAATAAGTGGTGTTCATTTCCTAGTGTTTATACTTAATATCCGAGGTAATTAAGGTAATTGAAGTATTCAGTGTCGTAGCTAGTCGGTCATATTCCTTCTCAAGTATAAAAAATTGTCATTAGGGCCCTTAAATATTAAAGAACCTTCTGCTAAGTATTGCAACAACAAAAAAAAAGAGCATTAAACTTTCAAAAAGGCCCCTAAATAAGTTGCTAACCTCCCTCCCCCCACTTAGGAGGCGTGGTGTAGCTTAGCCTTGGCACTTCATGGATTTGAAAATAAATAACTTGAAAGTAGGTTGGCTAATTATGAGAATATAAGCACTGATAGGAACTTATTTGAAAACAAATCTGAAAAAAAAAATTAATTATTAAAATCTTGAAAAATCAGCCAGATCAACTAAGTTAATCATCAACAACGGACTGAAAATTGTTTAAAGGAAGAAGCAGGAGCGTGTAAATCTATGAAATTAATGAATTATTAAAACTAATTAGGGTCATTTACATTCAATTATACTTCTAAATCCGATCTGAAACAACTTGAATTTTCGAGAAAAATTAGAAAAACATGATATTGTAATTTATTAATGTAGTTTATCAATGATTTTAACAAAACAAACTCTTTATTTATAAATAAAAAAAAAGTTAATGTACTCTAATGTTAGAAACTATTTTTCATAAATAAATTCAGAATGATCAGTTTCAATCAGAATATGTGTTTTTTTCATCTCCTTACCGCCAAAATTTAACCTGGAATGTGTACGTCATAATTTCTAACACGCACTGTATCAAGGGAAAACATGTTTGAGTTAAAGAAACATGGTAGCGGATAATTTTAAGTGACCAAAAATTGTCGACCTTTATCTGGTAATTTCTTTTCCATCATCTGATTTTTTGATTTTTTGGCTTGTGATAGTATTTGTTTAAGTGTTGAGAAAAAATACTCTTTAAACTTTACGTAAAAATTTTACTGTAAATGAGCTAATTTTTGTTTTGCTAACTTCCAAATAAATATACTTATCTAACATTCGCTGGGTGGCTTTTATGGCTTTTTTAAAATGAATTTATGTTAATTGCGAACTAACCGTATATTACCTTCAAAGAAATACATATATGTAATGATTTAAATATGTTTCATACTTGAATAAACTTAGATATACTACAGTTAAGATTGGCTACTGTTTTATGATTCTTTACTTACAAGATAAAGGAATAAAAGATGAAAAAAGATTAAGTCTTGAATAATTCTTTGCAAAAAAAGTTATTTCGTATTAAAATGTATTAGAAGAAATTTTTATTAAATTTTCATAAAAAAAAATCACGTTTCTAAAATATTTCTCAATTTTGTTTAGGTCATTAAATAAGTGTATCCTGTATCGTTGGTATGCATGACCTTATTTGGCAACAGCAAAACAAATCAGTTGTCAACAACTATCAAGGAGAGATACGTAATGCACTTAATGACCATCCACAGCATATACATTTTAACGATTCTTCTGGTTGCTCTGTGAAAATTAGTGCTGAACAGAAAAATAATTTTTTAAAAAATAATATTGCAGCAGTCAATGATTGGAGCGTAAACATTGATGATAACCAAAATAGAAAAGTAAGTTGTTTGAAGTTGTGCTTTTTAGTTTAAATTTGAATTATTTCTTTATGTTTTTTAAACTTGTAGTTAGTTACTCAGCAGCAAGTTTAAAAATATTTTTAACTATCCTGCAGTTAGGCAGCATTAATTTTATTATTTTCCTAGATTAAATAAACTCTAGTCAAAAATATCTTTCTATACATATCTATTCCATGCTGATAATATATATACCTATTCCTTATTTACTTCAATATTTTTTAGTAAAACAATTTATTCTGAAAAAAACATTCAAGAGTAAAAAACTTAACATGTGCACCTTTTCTGCATATGTAGAGTTTATAAGAGAATTTTAATTAAGTTTGTTCTTCTGCTAACTGTATTTCATTGATAGCTCAGTGGTTAAGTGCGCTGTGGTTAAGTTTTGTTTTTCAGGGTTTAAGACCTCCCCTCAGCATAATAAATTTTAAAATTTTTTTAATCTTGCCTAAGTATTTAAAGCAAAAAAATATATATAGCAAAAAATATTTATAAATTAATATTAAAAGTTTTCTCATTTTATAGATCGATTATAAGCAATTATTCCATGTAATGCCTGCAAACTCAGCATATGCTAAAGGAGTTTACATTAACAGATGTTGATACATAACGCTATATAAATGGAACTAAAAAGATCTTAGACCACATAGTCAAAAAAATCATCAAAACATAGTAATAAAAAAAGTTCATTCTTATGATTATGATTAAAAACTAAAAATAAAATATTAAAAGCTTATCTAAAATTTAAACCAAAAAAATTTTGTTCATTGACGTTGGTTTGTGTCAAAATAAACCTATGCGTCAAGTTTCCTTTTGCATTTAAATTACATTTTTTGATTAATTTTAATTATGTTGCATACAAATGTATGCAACATAATTAAAATTAATCAAAGTAATTTATTAGTTTGTTCGTTAATCTGGCGGGTTTATAGTGTTCGCAAATATTCTTTTTATTCTTTCGCACAAAGATGTTTTAAGAACATTCAAAATTATTATGTTTCCATGTATGTCCGTAAAACAAAATTTTTTTGTTTCGTACATCAACTTAAATGTTCTCAAAACGACTAAAAAACCTGGCCAGTTTTTCGTAACTAAATATAATTTCCGTGGTCAGTATTCAAGAGAGATCCCTTCCCGACCAAGCCTGGTCTTTAAAATAAGAGTTTAAGTATAGCTGTGTACTTTTTTTTAAATTATAGTTTATGTATAGCTGTGTACTTTTTTTTCAAGGAGCAAATTATTATAAGTTTATTGCAAGAAAGTTATCAAAAACAAAACAATAAACTTATGTCCACAAAAGTAATAACATTCTAGTCACTAACTGCAATATAAAAGTAATAAAACTATAATAGCCTTATTACTTTTAAAAAACACATAAATTTTAAAGTTCATTCTTTGTTAAAACAACAATTGTAATTCCAAACATCAATTAAAGTAAAAAAGCATCTAGAAAAAATAAAGCGAATATTCAAATACTATTAAAAACTTAAGGAACATTTACAAATCACTTAAACAACTTGATAAAAACTTCAGCATATTGAAAAATGTTACTAATAGTCCATAAAAAGTTACTTAAGTTTTAAATATTATTTGAATATCCACTCTATTCTTCTAGATAATTTTGTACTTCAATTAAAGTTTTGGATTACTTATCTTTTTTTAACAAAAAATGAATTACAAAAGTGCCTTTTAAAAGTAATGACACTATTATAGTGATATTACTTATATAATGCAGTTAGTTATAAGTGTTATAACTTTTGTAGTGGTAAGTTTGTTTTATTTTTTATAACTTTTTCGCTCCCAAATATAAGTTAATTCGCCCCTTAAAAACAAATAACACGTTTTTGCATAAACTGAAATTTTGAAGACTAGATTATATCCAGATTTTGCATTTCCTGATCGCTTAATTCAATCTTTGTTTTTACATTAAAATTGTTCAAATATTTTATAAACACATTGCAATTTATATTTTCAATTTCCTCTTTTAAACAAAAAGTTAAAATAAAGGAAAATCATTATTTTTATTTTAGACTTGAAACTTTATCTTATCTAATATTGTTGCTGAATATAACAACCATCCTAAAGAAATAAAAATAAAAGCAATACAAAATTTATTAATTTTTTTTTATTTTTTCTATTTGTATTTCTTTTCATTTCCTATTTCATTAGTTTTTTTGTTTTTTTGTTTTTGATACTTCTTCTGCAATGATAAATATAAATTTTGCTAAAGGCTGTGACCAAGTTGTCAAAAATAAAAGTTAAGTGCAACAAAATTAAAAAAATTTTTTTAATAAAATTAAAAAATGATTTTTATGTTTCTTTGCATACACCTTACATACAACATACCAAACTATATTTAAAATTTTTAAGTGCACTGAACTTTAATTTGAATTTAAGCGATTTGTTATTTCTTTAAAAAAAATATTTTTGTGATTTTTTTTAAATTTTTTTTTGGTTTATTTTTTTCTAATTTAGCTTCTTTTTTTTTGATAATTCTTATAATATGTTTTTGTATTTCTTATAATATGTATTTGTATTATGTAATTCTTATAATAATTTTTTTTATTTGCGTTCTAAAAGTGCGTCACGCTAAATTTATCTTTTGAATAGAAGTATGATCATTTGCTCTTTTGAGCGGAAAATTTTCATTCAACGTAAAGCATTTTTAAAAATAAATAACTTCTCTGCATGGAAGCCAATAATATTTTAAAAGGTTATTAAAGTGAAAAGTTTAATAGGAAAAAGTTGTTAAAAGGATAAAGATAATGTTAAAAAAAAAGATTTAAACCAAGTTATTTTTGATTAAAAATAAATAATGAATGCATACCAAGAAAAACTAATATTGTTGTTTTAGCTGAAACTCGCCTTATCCGTTTTTTTCAATAACTCAGAGTCTTTAAATTATACGTCACAATCTACAGACTTTATCGATTCCTTTGAAGCGCGCTTAGTTCATAAAAGTTTTAGTATTTGACGTCACGGTAGATTTTTAACAAAAGAAAAGTGTAATTAAACAAAGCTGTGTTTTTCTACTTAAAGTCAAAAAGTACGATGTAGTAATTTTTTAACATACAGCAATACAACTTTTACAATTATAATAAAAGGTTTTTATTTCGTAGGAGGAACTTTTTTTTTTACCGATATCTTAATAATTTTTAGATTTATATATCTTATAATTTTTTTGTTTTTAAATTAAAACAAATATTAAAGCTTTACTTACAAATCTTTTGATTTTCATACGAGTGTTTTACATTATATAGAACGTTATGTATATGATCTCTCATTTTTTGTGCAAGAGAGCGCAGTATTATATATTCTGAATCTTACTTATTTTTATTTAAACAAATATTTCCAGAGTTTCATTTGTTAAAAATCTACTGTGACGTCAAAAACTAAAACTTTAATGAATTAAATGCGCTTCAAAGGAATCGTCAAAGTCTGTAGATTGCGACGTATAATTTAAAGACTCAGAGTTATTAAAAAAAAATGAAGAAGGCAAGCTTCGGCTAAAACAGCAATATTAGTTTTTCTTGGTATGCATTCATTATTTATTTTTAATCAAAAAACTTGGTTCAAACCTTTTTTTTTAACATTATCTTTAATATGAACACAACATGTGTTAGGAGTTTAGTATCCCTTTAAGGTGGATTTTCACAAAATTCTGTCAAAATGTTTTATCAGCAAATGCTTATCGGCAAAAAAATTCGCTTTGCGTGAACATTTTTATTTTGTGGAAATCTGCCTTAAAAGCAAATTTTTTTTTGATTCTTTTTTTTAACACAACAGCCTGGTTTTTATCTTTGTTTTTAAAACGTTGCACCAAGTTAACTTATTAATAATAGTTTCGATTGTTGTTTTATTAACAATTTCATATTATTAATTTTACTACTTATAGTATATTATAAAGTAATTTATTTTAGCAAAAGAATTCAACTAAAAATAGATGTTTAAGATATAAGATGCAAATACTTAATTCAGTTGGTATAAAATGCCAAACAAAACATAAAAATACAATAACTAAAAGACTTACCATAATATCCAAGCTTAATAAAAATTTTGAAAGTATTTAATGTAAACAATTGCCAGATATTTTTTTTGACTAAGTTGAGGAACATATATTACTTGAAGTAGAATTTGCAGTAAGATATGATAAATTATTTATCTTTTGGCCCAAAAAGGGCAAAACTTGTAATCAAAAAGCATATGCGGATGTTAAACCAAACAAATTTGTAATTTTTTTAGATTGCACTTTATTTCTTGTTAACTTTTTAATATAGTATTTACTGTTTTTTGAACATTGCGTAGAATTATTTTTAAATTTTGCGAAATAAATTTTACGAAAAAATCAAATTTCTCAAGAAGTTTATTTCAAGCGACATTTTTGCCGTTATGCAATTGCGTAGTAATACCAATAACTTTTATTTCAAGTTTTACACTATAGTTAAATAAGAATTTCTCATCTTATTTTTCTATTAGTTTTTAATAATAATTAATTTTCAATAATTTGTAGAATAATAATAACTTTTATTTGGCAAACTTTATTTGGAAAACGGGATTTTTTTCACCTTTGAATTGGGAATTTTAATTTTTTGAGCATTTAGGAATACCATGTTTGATGGGGCCCCACAGGGCTAGTTTACACCCTGATTAAATACTTTACTTGCTCAGTACATCACTTGCTCATTACATTATAACCCAACCTAAACTATAGCTATAACATAAGATTTAAATTATAACAGTAAAGGCTATTTTAAACTCTGCTAAACTAGAAAATTGTAAAGTAAAACTTTAATACGAGAGATTATTTAAAGAAATTAACTACAAACTAATGTTGAAAAATACAATTTTATTATAATGTTAGGAATGTTGAAGTTTTTTTTTCTACATTTCAAGCGTTAAATAAGCATTTGATGTACAATTGGTTATGTGACTTTTCCATTTGAGATTTGATGACATTATAATTCCAAAATCTTTCTCGGTATCAGAGACTGCTAATATTTAGTCGCCTAGTTAAGTTTACTAAAATTTTATTCAAGTTTTTTATATGTTCCCATAAGGGGTCATCCATAAATTACGTCACGCAATTTTTGACCCTTTTTGACTTCCACCCCCTTCCCCCCCTCCTCCATTTGCCACAAAATTGTAATACTTAAGGATCAAGTTTTGAATGAGTCGTCACAAAACCACCAACCCCTCCTGCCTCTATAGCGTGACGTAATTTATGGACGAGCCCTTAGTTACAGTTTTTCTCATTTTGGCCTGATTAAAAAAGTATAATTGTAAAATGTTGTTTTAACCATTAATTTATTAATCTGAATCAATTTAGCATGCTTAATAATCCGATATATAATAATAATCCAAATTAATTTAGAATGAAAATGGAGCTAACGTGTTCAAATTGTTATTGGTCAGATTTTATATTTTATAAAATATTTATTTCAAGTAAAAAACAGAAAGAACTTTTGCAATTTTCACATAACGTAAGTTAACAAAAACATGTTAAAGTATTGTTTTTTTTAAACTTAGGTTAAAAAACTTAAGTTTTTTTATAAATATATGCGAAGGAATATTAAATGTTACATTTTTTAATTTAAAGTTTTGGATAATGGTGCTTAGTTGAAATACATTTTTATTTTAAATGTTGTGTAACGTAAGGTAAATCTACATGCATGAACTATAGTTCTAGTTGTTTAAGTTTTAGTTGCTTACAAAATAAATTACATCATTATGCAATTCTTATTAAGTAAATATTTTTATTTTATTAAAACATATCAGTTGTAAATGCAGTTAAAGGGGGTCATCCATTAAATGTCACCCTATATTTGTCAAATTTTAACCTCTTTCCTCCTGTCACAAACAATCACATTTACAGGCTTGGTCGGGAAGCGGGAGCGATCGCTCTCGATTGCTGACCACGTAAATAATATTTAGTTGCAAAAAGCTGGCCAGATTTTTTAGTCGTTTTGAGAACATTTTAAAAAGCAAAAAAAAAGCGCAAAAGATTAATTGGATTGATGAGAGACAATTACAAAAAAAAATCAGGCATGTAAAATATCTTTAAACGTAAAAAAACTTAAAGTTAAATAAATTAGGTTTAGAACAAATGTTTTCAAAACATCGCTCTTTTATAATTTTTTTTTTTATAAAATTAGGCAATGTTTTTTATATAAAGTAACTACTTACGATTGTTTAAAAAGGAAACAAATATTCTTTTTTTAACAAAGTTTGCAAGTTCTGGTTTTATTTAAGCTAATTTATTTTATAAATAAAATTTTTTTTTTAATACCTATTTTATGTTTCGCGTAGTTTGAAAAGTTTAACATATTTGAAGCAATTCTTCTTAGTAAGATAAACAAATAAAATAATTAAATCATTGAATTACTATAGAAATTAAATTAACATGATAGAAATCAACTAATAAGGTTAAAAATACTTTATGACGAGGAAGCGAAACTGCTTTACAATATTGCTAATGATGTTTAGTGAGTGGGCTTTTTAATTTTAATTAGTATTTAAAGCAGGAAAAAGTATAACAAGTTTTAAGAATGGCAACTTTTTATCTAATTATTTGCTATATATATTTGCTTTTATTTTCTATTAACTTTATTTTGCTTAGTCAGCGTATTTTTTTAACCAATAGAATTAGTTTGTTCGTTAATTTGGCGGGTTTTTAGTGTTGGCGAATATTCTTTTTATTTTTTCGCACCAAGATGTTTTGAGAACACAGTTTTTTATGTTTCCATGTATGTTCGTTAAACAAAAAATTTTAGTTTCGCGCATAAACTTCAATGTTCTCAAAATGGCTAAAAAAAACCTGGCCAGTTTTTCGTAACTAAGTATAATTTCCATGGTCAGTATTCGAGAGCGATCGCTCCCGGTTCCTGACCAAGCCTGAATAAGTTAGTCCTCTTTTAGTCGGACTCGAAGCTTTTTACCTTATTTTATTCATCAGATTAACAGCTTTCATACAAAGTAGCAAAAAAAAAAAAAAAATTTTTTTATTTAAAGTCTAAAATGGCAAATATTTGATCAAGTTGTTGCACGTGTAACGTAAGTTAAAAATAAAATTAGCAAGAAGTGTTGATGAGTTTTTCCCAGGTTTGATATCCACTCAAACATTTAATAGGAGTTAAAAAAACTTCAAGTGTTAAGTTACAGGTAGTTCAAGTCATCAGTTGCAGGTAGTTTTTTCTAAAGTGGCAAGTAAACTCAGCATTAGTAAGAAGTTAATCAAGTGTTACTGCATATAGCCAGATATATGATCAGGTTGAAATAGAATATATAGTAAGATTGGTTTTTAAATAATAGCTTAACAATTGCTCTATTTTAGTCTTGAAATTGCTACTGTTGCAATTTATCTACTAAAGAGGAGTTATGCATTTGTCAACCTAAACCTGCGTGGTTTTTAAAAAGGAGGAAAAATAAAAAAAAATTGAATCATTAGCATGTTATATAACTATTGTGTGTTTTTGCTATATTAGTCATAGGCTTAAGTTAATTGTTGTCGGGTATTACAATATCCAAAAGTATTTCTGCTCATTAAATTTTTATTTAAAAACTGTGATCACTGTTTTAATGAAACCGTCAATTTATAATATTGCAAAAGTTGATAAAAAAACAAAACAAATTTATTACTCCAAATTTTATAGCAGTCAAAACTTACATATTTTTAATTTTTTATTTTTAATACCAAGTAATATGAGGATTTAAAAAAAATAGTTATGACACAAATTATCAATAATCGTCCAAAAAATGGCGCAGTAATTTAAAAATCAGCCAATAAAAAACTATGCCTAAGGTATTTGCGCATTAAATGAAACATCAATATCAATTTTTGTTTAGGAAAATTAAAGGTATTATTTAAAATTTAAAATTTTGGTTTATTTTAATGTCAAATAGAATTTTTTTAAATTATTATCAATTAACTATTGATAATAACAATAAAAAATGTTTTAAAGTAATTTATTAGAGTTTTTTTGTTTTATTTTAAAATAACAATAAAGAGTTTAAATTGGTTTTTATATATTTTTAAACTCCTGTCTTTTAATTTTGTATACATATCTACAAAACAGTTATAAGCATTTAATTTATAAGAAAATATTGATTAAGACTTAAATAAGATATAAAATTATTTTTTCTTATTTAACAATTTCTTTTATTTAAAATATTTGATTGCTATTAAATTCCTTTAAACTGTTGTGATTTGTGGTTGTTTTTTAATAATTATATCATACTTAATCGTGCATTATTTTTCTAGTTTTCAAATCAGATGATTTATTAAAATGTTAAAGTTTAAATCTATAATAATCTTAATCTTTAATAAAATCTATAATGATCATAATTTTTAATAATAATAAAAATAATAGTAATAAAATGGATTTACAATATTATTTTATATCATAATGGTTTTTAAAAAGCTAGAAATTTAAAGACCAGAAGCATTTCCTGATATTGTAATTTGTGATCACTTAATTTCAGCCCTGTAGTCGCTATGTGTACTTAGGACCCTGGCAGCTCCCTATTTGATTTTTTATTGTTATAGGAATTAAAGCAAAATGTTCTACAAAAAGATCCATGTTTTTTTGTGTGAAGCATTCTATATTTAATCTTGTTTGAGAGTTGTTTTTAGATGTTTTTGAAATATTGTTAATTTTTTTAGAGAATAATAAAACATAATTAAACCGTTTAATAATATTTTTTGTATGCTTCCTACTTTAAGTCCTAGAAAATCTCTAGTGTTAAGTCACTTTTGATCTGCCATAAAAATCCATGGCATTTAATGACTTAAAACTTTTTTTTAGCCAGAGTCCTTGTCGTCATTATACATTAGGATTCTTGTTTCTAAACTTGTTTGTTCTTCAACAACAAAAAACTTTTATATATACATATTTACATAGTGCAAAATAACCTTGGCACTCATCATGGTTAGGTTTTTGCCGAAGGACTTATTAGTATTTTAATGAATTGCCTTTGCAAGAAAATTGCAGATTCATTTTTCTTTTAAATTTTTAGGCACTTTATTTTTTCTTTTTAATTCATATAGTCATTAACTAATATAGAGTTAGTATAAGTTATTAAATAACTTTTAGAAAGAAAAACAATACTTTAATTAAAAAAAAAAAAAGCTATAAAAGAAATTGTTTCTAAAACAAGTTATAATTTTTTGTAATAAAAACCATTTTTCCCTAAATTATAAAATTATTAGGAAATGATCTAAAGTCTTTACTCTAATTTTGATTCAATTTATAAAATTATGCAAAGGGAAATAGTACTTTTGAGTCAAGTCCTCATTTGTTTGGCCAAATCAAAAAAACCTGAATTTCGCACGCTGTATATATGTATATATATTAAATCATATGTATATATTTTTATATAAGTTGCTATAATAAAAACTTAGATTATTTATGTAGTCATAACTTTTTTATTTATAATTGCATTTAAAAGTGTATAATATATATATTTTTTCTAGCAAGTGTGGAACAAGTCGAGAGATAAAACTCTTCATTTAAAAATGGCTAATAGTCCACCAACCATGTTTACTTTTGATGGCTGGCATGATCCATCTTGGAGCATAAATGATGTAAACAGTGATAAATCAGAACATGCTATATCTCAACCAATAACAATGGTTCAAAGAAGACATGAGCAGTATGGAGTATCACAACATGTGGTAACTTCTCCTAGATCAGCTGATGGATCAGTGCTTGGTGTTCATATGGTGGAATATGTTCTTGCTTCTTCTCCAGGGGGTCATGATTTAGAATCACGTATGAAAGAAATGAACATAATTTCTGTAAGGTGTTTTTTCTATTTTAGTTATCAATTTTTTTTTTTTATTGATTTTTTTAAAAGTTAAAGGTTTTGTATCATGGTAGGATGGTGTTAATCAAAAAATGCACAATGGAAATACTATTTCTCAAACATTTGATGAAGATGAAGAAGTTGATCATATTCAAGATAGTGATCAGCAGATGTATGTGTAAGTATATTTTTATATACAATATTCTTATAGCAAAGTTGTTTGTGGCTGTTTAAAGATTAACCTTGTTAAGTTGTTTTTATCTAACATTTTTATTTTCAAATTAACAAAGGACTGACAAAGGCCTTGAAAAGTGTTGTTTATGCATTTTTTTATTGATATTTATTTTAAAATTAATCCACCAATGTGCAAAAACCTTTGTTACTTAAATTATGGAAAAGCAATTTTTATGAAATAAACATGTATGCTGCTACTATTGTTCAAGTTTTAAACAACAATAACAGCATACATGTTTATCAGATAAAAGTAAATTTTAATAGAAGATTCACCAAAATATCAGTGAAAAAGTTTAATTGGTTAACTTTAATTTAATGCAAAGGTATTAGTTTCGAACATTTTAAGTTTTGAATTTTAATTGATGTTTCAAATTTTTTTTTTTTATAATTGTCATTAATAAATGAAATTTAATGAAAGCTTAACCGAATCAAAGATATCTGTGAAAATGTTCAGTTATGTTTACTTATATTCAATGCAAAGTTATTTTATTTTCGAATGTTCAAAGTTTAGAATTTTCATTGAGGTATTAAAAGTTTTGTTATTATACGCACTTATATGCTATTCAAAAAAAGGTTCTAGTTAAGCTAAAGAATTTTGCCAAACGCAGCCCAGAAAACGGTATCAGTTAAAAATGGTCTGACTAAACCAGAGTACAACTTAAGGGGATAATTTTGTAGTAAGTTGATGAAGAAAGTTAAAGGGTAATCCACTCAACAATTATAGAGTATAATCTTGTCCGATTCTACTGTATAATCATAACAGTTTTTTTGTTTACTTTTGAATTTTATATTCGAACTTCCAATTATACATGATATATAAATTTGATGTTAACTTTAATTACTTTATTATATTACCAAAATAATATATAAGAAAATAATTCTTCAAAAATTCATTTAGCAAGTGCAAGTTAAGATATTTTTTTCATAACTTTAAATTTTGATTTTAAAAAGCTTAATTGCTTTAAGAAAATTAAATTTTTTTATAGTTTGTGTTATTTTTTAGTTCTCAACATATAAATGAGAATCGCAGTTCTCCTTTGGGATCGAACCAAAAAGATGCGCTTGGTGTTATAATAGGTGGGCGATCTACCAGTAACACTCCTAACAAATCTATTTCTTCACAAAATAATTCACAAGTTACTTCACCAGTACAAATTAATCATCAACTGGATCAAAATGATATAAGGCATATGGACAATTCATATGATGGCAGTTTGTTGCATCAGTATGATATGAACTCATCAGCTATTATTAATGCAGCTGGTCAGCAACATTTATCTGCCAATCCACACCATTTGGTTTATGGATCAAATCATCAACAGCAGCAAAGTATAGGTATGCATAGTCCTTATTATGTTGCAAGTGCTGGAGGACAAGACCCTTATAGTCAAGGTGCTGGTATCCCTGTAGTTAATGCTCAAGGGCAAACAACTATGATTCATCCACAGTATGCTGCTTATGGAATCCAGTCAATAGTTTATGCAAATCAGAATGGTAGTCCTTATCTTCAACAACAGTCTCAGACAACTAGTGCATCTACAAGCACAACTCATCAATCATCTCAGCAACAAATGAATGGCCAACAATTACCCCCAGGTTACCAAGTTGTTCAAGCACCTATAAATTTTCCAACTGGATCAACATTTTATGATCAACATGGCAATCCAGTTATAATTAATGGTAGAATGTTAACTAATGGGGTTAATCAAATGGGGCAAACTGTACGGATGGTTCCTTCTATGATGTTAAATACAAATGCACAGTCTACTGTTAGTCCTGGTATGCATAGCGGAAATTCATCATCAATACATATGTATAATCAGCCTACTCAGCCTGGACAACAGCAACAAAGAGGTAGTTTTTTAAATTTTAAATAATTAAAAAGCTTTTCTACAAGTAACACAAACATATTAGGAAAATGTATTTTTATTCAGACAAATAATTATTTTAAATCTGATCAAAATAGATTTTTTTTTATTTTTTTTTATTATGAATAATTAATATGCTTAAAGATAATTATTTGCAAAAGTTAGCAACTCTGTTAATTCTTTAACAGTAATAAAAAAAAATTAAAATTTTTTTTAACTAAAAATCGTTTTAACTATAATTTTGAATTAAAAAATAAAAAAAACATTCTGTTTAATCAATTTAAGGACTAAAGCTAGTTTTATGTTGATTACTTTTACTTATATTTAATTCAGTACATTGAGTGCATGATTTATGTTCTTTTTATTTGGAACAAAATAAACTCACATCTAAAGTGACTCTATTTTTTGATGGCTAAACTATATACTCCTGTTTTAATTAAGTCATTTTAATCACTTAAAACAGGCAGTCAACTTTAATGTGATCATTTGCTCTGTAAGAGCTTGTGAACTTTACCTCAAGCAAAGTTCAGTAATTCAAATCAAACAATCATTGCAATATTGTAGATGTTCCTATATATCTGTGTGCAAAAGGATAAAGGAGTTGAGTCAAAAATGTTGAAAATAAGTTATACATGGCATTCAAATAATATTATTAAGTATCGATGGAAAAGATTTAAATTTTAAATAACCACTTCGATGGCTCCGCACAAAATCGGTGTATCTGCTTTCTCCGCCTATAACAAAATTGAGCTATCTGCAATCTCTGCATAAAACAAAATTGGACTATCTGCATTTTCCGTCAGCTTTATTTTTGAACTATCTGCATTCTCCGGGCGTTTAAAATTTTCATTGCATGAAGTTTTACGCCTTGAAAAAATGTCCTTTTACTACAAATGGCAGATATGACGATAAATGTTGTTACTAGTATATTTCAAATAAGAAAACAATAATTGCGTTATTTTTCATCTATTCTTTATATATAAATCTGTTTAAGTTTTAACACAAAGTTTAACGTGCCACATTTGATTTTGTTTAGAAGAAATTTGTTAACAAATTAATGCAATACTTTTAAATAGTTATATGTTAATGCAAATGAAAAATTTACAATACTTTTAGAACATCATTTTAACTGCTGAAAAAAGGACAGTCTGCATCTCAATTCTGAAATTAGTAAGCGTATACACATGAATTGATCAATGTGTAAATGATCACAAAACCAACTGTGTATGTTCAAATTAGAATGTACTGGATTAAAAATTCATTTTACAGTTTTACGAGGCTTATTTGAATATGTGAAACATTGTTTGGTGCTTTTTAAGTTTGTCTATTTTCAACAGAAAAAACAAAAACAAGTAGTGTTACTGTGTTATCTGTATTACATATTCTTTATATATAATATAGGTATACTATATAGCTATAGCAGTCAGTCATAACAAATACAAAAGATGTTATTGTTTTGGTTAAATGTGAAGATATCAAGTTAGTTTATTTAGTTTCAAAAATTAATTCAAGTTTATTATTGCTATCATCAAATAAAATATGTTAGGTCTACAAAGTTATAGATGTTTTAGATAAGTTGTGTTTGTATGTTAAAATACAATTTCTAAAGTTAATAATTATCTAAATATGATTATAATTTAAATTCATATTGTCTATTAAAAATGCAATGATTTAATATATTGGATATACTGTAAAAGTAAAAAAAGCCTGATATTCAGATCAAGGTGCAAATTAATGTTTATTTTAAAAAAGCAGTTTTTTGTTATTTTGTAATTATTTTTTTATAGAAATTATTCAGCTATATTTGATATTATCATAGTAATTAGTATCATAGTAAAAAAATGACAACCCTTTCTTATATATCGTTACACCCCAAAGCCTTGGATATGTAAACATTATCAAATATAATTGGACCAAAATTGTTTAATCACAACAGTTATATTAACATCTAGTTAAATGGTTTAGAGCTCAAATCCAAATGAACCTTATGTTCAGTTTGATTATAAATTTTTGAATATAAAATATATATTATATGTATATTACTAACATAATTTATATTATATATATATCAGGCCTTGCGATGAATAAGAACTGCGTGACGCATAAGCACGACGTAATTTTTGACGTCATTAAATTCTTTTTATTTGCTTTTCATATTTATCGACATTAACTGCACCAATTTATTTAATTACCGCAAAACTACTTTAAATCGTTTATGTAGAAATGTTATTATTTAAAAATGTTTTGGAATGTTTCGTTTTTTAAAATGTAAAAACATTTGTTTATTTTCTCGACGTTTGTCACGTTTTGTCTATACTAAACGAATAAAAAACATTATAACTTAAATTTAAAAAAGATTATAAAATATGCTAATATTTGATTTTTTTTTTCTTAAATATGTAATTTAAAGTTTTTCAAATAATTATTTTTTCTTTTTAAAAAGTCAGCGAGTAATAAACTGGAAATTTTAATATTGTACGATTAAAAACTGTGCAATAGCTAATATTTTTACAAGCGATTTTATATAATATTTATTTATTTATTTTTATTTATTTTCATAAAGCGGTTGATAAGCACAATCACTCGTATTAATAAAAAACTTAAACGAACGTTTTGAATAGATTTTTAATGTTAACAAGGAATTTTATTTCTAGTAAAATAAAATAAAATGTTAGAATAAAAATCTTATAGGTATAAAAGAAATATTTCAGCGAAAAAATTATTCTTAAAAATTATTCGAAAAACTATTGACGTTCTATTTTTCAGCAGCTGTTCTTGAGCACGCTTTGATGAGTTTCGGTAACTTTTAACATAAAAGCGATCGTTATTATTTAAGTAATTTTTTTGAGTTACTTTTTACAAAAATTTTAATAACTGTACTTTTTTATTGAATCAAGTATAATACGTTTTAATATTAATCTTTTTTTTATTTTATTTGCCCTCACCAATTTTTAAAATGTTTCCTCGAAATCACTCTTAAATACTTTAAATACGTCTAACAGTTAATAAATATTTTTAAATCTATGGAATAATTTTAAAACCTATCAAACCCCTGTAAAATAATTATTTAAGTTTAAAATCTAAAACTAAAAGAAAGTATTTTTGTTCAATTTTATCGACAACGTTGCTATTGCTGAATAATTTTATTAAAATGTTAGCTTAAAAGATTTAAACTTTTTTTTTAATTTTTGAATTTTTTCTACTTGTAAATAATGAGCATATTTAATTTTTTTAAATTCAAACTTTCATTTCAACTGCGTGCGGTTTTTAAAATACTTTATTAAATGTTAAAATAATCGTAAATTACTTCATTAAAATTCCGCTCAAAAATATCTTTAAATATACTCAAACAAAAAATTTTTTGCTCGGCGCAAATAGCCCTAGCTACACGCAAAATCGCCCTTGGACGACGTAAAATTCACATCGCCCGACGCTTTATCGCAAGGCCTGATATATATATATATATATATATATATATATATATATATATATATATATATATATATATATATATATATATATACAGGCCTTGTTTTAAACCGCTACGCCTAGAGCGATTTTTACGTACGCAAAGAGCTGTTTTGGTTAAGCTACTTTTTATCATTTTTTAACTTTTAAATTAGCGGTAACATAAAAGAAGTAATTAATTTTTAAAAAAACCACATTAACTTTTGAATAACGATATGTAAAAATATTTATTAGAAAAAAAGAATTATGTTAAAAATAATTGAAGTAACTTTTTATCGCGACATATCATATGTTTTAATAACATTTAATTTTACGCTTAACTTTTTATTCAAATATTTAGTAACATGAAAAATTGTTTGTCAATCCTTAACTACAAATTTTTTGCAAATGTTTTTAATAAAAAGTAACTTTTTGAAGTTTTCAGTAAAAAACTTTAAAATATATATATTCCAAACTTATTAATACAGAATATAAATGTTTTTTGTAATATAAATTTTTTAAGAGTTTTTTACTAAACTCATATTAAAAAACATTTGCAAAAGATTTGTAATTAAGGGTTGACATTTTTTTAATATATCAAAAAACGTCTTAATATTTTTGTTATCATGATAACAAAAATATCAAGACATTTTTTCTTAATTTGTTATAAAATGTTTTTTTTTTTAATTTAACCATTATGTTGATCAAAAATAAAACTCTTGGGTCAGAGTTGTTTGATCATCTTTGCATCTTTCTAAATTAAGAAAACGTCATTTGCAAGTATTAACTCAAAAAAAGTTACACCTAAGTTACTCAATAAAATGGGGTGTCATATATCATAAATATTTTTTCTCAAAGTATATTAAATTGGCTCTCAAAAGCAGCAACATTTTATAACAAGTTTAATTTAATTTAATTAATAATAATTAATTTTTTTTATTACGCTTTATAAACTTTCTATTTTTAAAAATCTTTTTTTTAAAATAAAAAGTTTTTTTAATCTACACTTCTTTTGAGACCAAAGTTGATATACTTTATATATATATATATATATATATATATATATATATATATATATATATATATATATATATATATATATATATATATATATATATATATATATATATATATATATATATATATATATATATATATATATATATATATATATATATAAAGAAATAGAAACACTTTTATTAATATACATTTTAAAAAAGTAAACATAAGTAAGTCCAAAATGCATATTTTAAATAATCAAAACATAAAATAATCAATTTTACTCTGCAAAACAACTTTTTTAGGTCATCAAAATATTAAAAATTAACTATGGAATACTGCAAATATTTAAGAAAGTATTAATGCAGTATTGTAATATAAGAATCTAGATTTGTTAGTCCTTGGCCTTGCCTTAAGGCCAAAAATTAAGGCCTTGGTCTTGTCCTAGAAACTTTTGACCTTTTAGAAACTTTTGGTCTTTTGAACTTTTAGAAACTTTTGGTCTTGGCTTTAACCTTCATAAAAAATACATGAAATTAAAGAGTTAAAAGATTTCATTTTTATGAATTTTTGTTTTTGGCTTTCATATATATCTACAAGTATACTTTTTTATTGACTTTGTTGAAGTCTGCGCATAACCTTGATATAATTTTACAACATGTGGTGTATTGTCACAGCACTTGCTACCTACAGTTTTGTTAATAATTGGCCTTAAGGTAAGGCAAAAATTTAAGTCTTTGGTCTTGAAATGTTTGCGTAGGTCTCGGCCTTGAAACATGTGGCCTTGTCTTTGGTCTTGTAAGTTTTAACCTTCATATTGGCCTTGTCCTTCTAACATGTGGATTGGCCTTGCAACTTTTAGCCTTGTTAACAATTCTCTAAGAATCTATAGCGTTATTAAAGACTTTTCTAGAAGCTTTCTAGATATTTGTATAATCATGAAGAATTTTCCAGGATTGAATTTTCTGGAATTTTCAGTATTAGTGAACCTCCTGAGGATGTTTATGACTACAGCAAATTCCTAAAAGTGCTTGCAATTTAATTCAATTTTAGAAAATACATTTATAACATTATAACATTTATAGAAAGTTAAGTGGACTTCATATGCAGGATGATCTTGCATATAAACACCACTTAGCAACAATGCAACATAACATAATAAGAATTTGATTTGATCTAAAGTTATTAGTCACAACAACAAGTTAATACAAAAATTTCTAAAACTATTTTGGTAAATGACAAAAAACTAAATAAAATTAATAAAGTATGTATTATGAATTTATCAATTAGTATGCAACATTGCAATGTTTTATTACAAATCTATGTTGTTATTATAATAACAAATTTTAATATTAACAACAACATAAGTTAAATTAAGTCTATTTAACTTAATATACTTGAATCAAGTAATCAAGTCTTGATTACTCATAAACTTAATCAAGTTATGTTCAAGGACTTGTGTTTAAATAATCGCCATTAATAAATGTTTAAATAATTGCTATTATTGAAAACATTTAAAAAAATTTATAACAATCTTCAAATATTAAAAAAACACAATCTAAAATTTATGCACCCGAAAAACGCAGATAGTCCAAAAACGTATCTGGAAAATATGCAGATAGTCCAAATTTGTTTTACGCGGAGATCGCAGATAAATCAATTTTGTTTTAAACGGAGATAGCAGATAAAGCAATTTTGTTTTCAGCGGAGATTGCAGATAGTCTGATTTTGTGGAGCCATCGACTTGATTCATTATACAAAGCTTGAATTTGTACTCTTCAAAAAGTTGCAACTGCACCAATTTTATGTTGCTTCTGCTGTAAAGTGACATTTGTTTGCACACAGATATGGTGAATGAAAATAATCTTACTGGGTCTTCCAATATCATGTCTTCTTGGATAATCATTTACAATAAATCTCTCATGGAAACCATATATACAATATATTGCTAATTTCGTGGTGTATAAGGTGTCCTTACTTTATTATATTTGTCATTTTCTTACTCCCAAGTCCATTCTCTACCTCTACAGATTGTATAGAATACTGTTGTCATATATTATTAATATGAATTATTATACAAAATACAAAAAAAATTGACTTTTTTTTGTAGTGTTTGACATATTTAAACTATTGCAAAAAAAATAAACAATGGAATGTTTAAACACAAACTTTGTCTTTTTATTCAATGTAGTTTGCAGAAGAGTTTTTAATTTATATCTAAAAGTAGGGAACTTTTAATTACATTTTTTTGCCTTCATAACCACTCAAAAAAAGAGAACATACCTTATTATTTAACTAATTTAGATTACTTTTTAAATGTATATATTTATTCAAATTAATTTTTTTTATTATATCGTTACTTTTCCCTGGTCAATAAGACTATTATAGCGAAGGAGGCTATAGGTCATTCTTATTTTTATTTAAATGTGCTTTACTATGTGTTTATGTATTTACTTATGTATTTAATGTTTTTATTATTCAGGGATAAATCTTGGCTATTTATCAACAGGCCAGTTAGGCCCTCTACCTGGTCAGAGTGCAATGCAGTTGCAAACAACAGGTCCTGTTGGTGTTATAGGTGGACATTTGCAATCTACTGGAACTGGTCCTTTGCCATCACCAGGCGGACAGCGTGATGTCTACAGTGCTCTTGGTCCTAAACGCTCAGGAGGAACCCCTGTGTATACACCAGGGATGGTTGGATCATATAATTCATTAACTGTTAACACTCCACTTGCAAATTCTCTTAACATGACTAATCCTAATACATCTCCTTTGCATTCACAGGGTCAAGCTTCTTTTGAAATAGGAAGTCCTGCTAATGGGAGTCGATTATCTAATTATATGAGTTTTTTGAATCCACAAGGTGATCGCAGATTCAGTTCTTCAGCATTATCTGGTTCATTTCTAGGATCAAGTGGTAGTTTGTATAGGCGGGTTGGTGCAAGAGATAGTGGTCGGTCCAAGTTATTAGAAGATTTTAGAAATAATCGTTTTCCTAACCTTCAACTTCACGATTTGCAAAGACATATTGTTGAGTTCTCTCAAGATCAACATGGTTCAAGGTTTATTCAACAAAAACTAGAGAGAGCTAGTGTTTTAGAAAAAACAATGGTTTTTAATGAAATTTTGTCTGCTGCTTATAGTTTAATGACTGATGTATTTGGTAATTATGTCATTCAGAAATTTTTTGAGTTTGGTTCACCTGAGCAAAAGCTTTTATTGGCGCAAAGGATTAAAGGTCATGTTCTGCCTTTAGCTTTACAAATGTATGGGTGTCGAGTTATTCAGAAGGCTCTAGAGACTATACCTTCAGAAATTCCAATTCATGTAAGTTATGATGTTATATGTAATTACTTTTTAACATAATTTACATATAGTATCAGGAGTTATTTTAACTAACACTCAATATACAAAGCAAAATCTTAAGAAGACATTTAAAATTAAATAATTTAATTATGAAATTTGAGTATTTTTTTTAAGTTAAATAAAGTATTGGGGTTTTAGCTTTCAGTGATATTAAGTTTATTATAACTATAGTTTTAAATTAGATTTTATATTGAAAGTCCTAATCTATGAAATGATTTTTCTCTACAACAAGGAGATATTAAAATTGTCTTTGTTATTATTATAGTGATACAACTACTTAGTGATACTTAAGATCAAGGCTGATATCTTTATATGATTTTTTATATTTCTTTTCTTTTATCACAGGGTGAGTTAGTTAAAGAGTTAGATGGCCATGTCTTAAAGTGTGTAAAAGATCAAAATGGAAATCATGTTGTTCAGAAATGCATTGAATGCATTGATTCTACTCAACTCCAGTTTATTATTGATGCTTTTCAAGGACAGGTATTACACTTTTTTATATTAGAATAATAAAATTGATTTTTAAATGAGTTATCATAGCTCCAGTATTTTTTGCATGTTTATATTATTGTTACAAGTTATATTTTAACACAACATGTTAAAATTGTGTCAAAAACGTGTTAAAAAGTTTTTTTTCTTTTTTTTTAAAACCTAATTAATTCTCAAAATTTGTTTAATTTTTAATCCAAAATTAAATTATAAACATTTTTTTTAAATCTACAATGTGACCACGTTAATGCCCATTAAGATTCCAGTCTAATTAAAAACTAAACTTCGAAAATATTATGATTTTTTTTTATTCGATATTTGTTTAATGTTTACAACACCTTTAAAATCTTTACATTTTTATGATAATTTTATAATTTAGTATTTTGTGAGATACAATTACGATCATTGTATGACTCAAACTTTCTGTTAATAAATTAGTTTAAGTATTTAAAACATTCAACAAATAATGATTATTATTTTTCAAATTATTTCTAAAGATATAATTTGTTTTTTTGCTACAATACACCTATACAATACCATTTCTGCACTTCTGAAATAAATGGTGACAAATTTATTTGCATTACAGAAAAAAAAAGATAGCAAGGAAATATTTAAAGATAAGTTAAGAAGCTAAAAAAATTAAAGTTGTAGGTTAGATAAGATCAAAAATTAGTTCTGCATTAAAAAAAAAAAAAAACAAAGAAAAAATTGTTACTGAATTTTAAAACAAAAATGTTTCTGTGCATGAATTTGTTTTTCCTTATATATATATATATATATATATATATATATATATATATATATATATATATATATATATATATATATATATATATATATATATATATATATATATATATATATTATTTTTTTTTACTTAACATAAAGTAACATTAACTAAAATTATCTAATAACAATTTATAAATTCGAGGACAGAAATATCGTCTTAAAAGTTCTACAATTGTTCATCAGTATTTTGTCAATACTGAAAAGCTAGTAAAAAATAAGAAAAATAATTTTTAAAAAAATTACATTTTAATTTTTTTAAATTTTTTTGTGGCAAAAGCCAAAAAAAAACGATATACATCTCTACCTGTAACTAATTAATATAAATAATTGACAAGATAAGTTGTAGATAATGGCATTTATTTTTTTTCCTATCAAGTTCAAACCCTAAATATTGCTATTGGGTTGCTTTAGGCATTTAATATAAAAGATTTCAGTGAAATAAAATTATTTAGTTTTGAAAGTTATGCAATTCTAGTTTGTTTTTTTTCTTCTAAAAGACAGTATTGTGTTTTGGTATTGAAAAGTACAGTTTAATACTAATTTTAACTCTGGTTTTAAAAGCAAAAAAAAATTTTAAATTAAATTTTAAAAAATTAAAATTTAAAATTTTTTTAATTAAAAGCAATGAAAACTCAATGAAATCAAAAAAGAATTAAAAAGCAATTAAAATGTTTTATTAACTTCTGTTAATGAAAAAGTTGACACTAGAGTTTTCATGGCTTCTAATACTAAATTGAAAACCAGCATTATGAAATTTTTAATAAAAAGACTAGTCTAATCTAGACTAATCCTGTTAATCTAGAATTTTTAACAATTCTTGATCCTGTTAATTCTATTATCTTATTTTCAGGTTTATGCGTTGTCTACACATCCTTATGGTTGCAGAGTGATTCAGCGAATTCTTGAGCATTGCACACAGGAACAAACTGCCCCAATATTAGCAGAGCTTCATGAACACACAGAGCGTCTTATTCAAGATCAGTATGGAAACTATGTAATACAGCATGTTTTAGAGCATGGTAGTCCAGAAGACAAATCAACTATAGTTAATATTGTCCGTGGTAATGTCTTACTACTGAGCCAGCATAAGTTTGCGAGGTAATTTTAATTATATTATTATTCATATAGTACAGGCCTTGTTTTAAAGTGTTATGCTTAGAGTGATTTATAAACACCTCAATTGATTTTACATAAGCAGTAAGCAATTTTGTTTAAGCAACTTTTTATCTTTTTTTTTTTTTTGACGTAAATTATTCTATAAGCGGTAAGATGAAATAAGTAATCAATTTTTAAAAAAGTCGCATTTATTTTTAAATGACATTTATGTAAAAAAAAATTTGTTACAAAAGTTTTAAATGACAATTATGTTTGATATAAGTTCTAATTACTAATAAAAAAAAACTCAAATAATATTAAAAGTTTACTTTTATTTTGTTTTTATTTTATTGTAATGATTAATAACCTTAAAGCAAAAATCATGAGAACATAATTCACTTCTGATAAAAATATTTTAACTAATTTAATAAAAATATATAATTTTATTGTGGTTTAAAAAAAAAAATTTAATTAGTTTTTAAAAATATATAATTTAATTTTGATTTAAAAAATATATATTTAAGTTTATTTAAATTAAAGTTAATGCTTGGGTTTAACTAAACTGTAAAATTTATTTAAAAATATTACTTAATATAATTCAATATTTAAATTTAATTTGTTCTTCAAAAAAAAAAAAACCTCATTTTTATCGCAATTGTTTTTTCTGTTTTCCTTACTAAGTTTTTTTTTTTTACTCAAAATTAAATTTTGAATAAAGTCAGCATCAAAAATTTGCACAAAAATGTTTTTTTTTTTAATTACGCAAGTTAAATTGCTTCAATTATTTTTTAATAAACAGTATATACAACAATATAATTTTAATAACAAAATAATAAACAATATATACAGCAATATAATTTTGATAATAAAATAACTTTTAATAAATTAAGTAACTATATTAACCTAATTTTATTATTTGTATTCTCTAATTTTTTTAAAAATAAAAAATTGTTTGTAGTTGCAAATCCGCTATTAAAAATTTAAGAAATAATCATTCTAAAAATTCAAAAATACAACAATTAAATTCATTTACGCAAATGTCAGGAAAAAAAATTGATGATATCAAATATTTTTAAAAATGCAATGTTGAGTTTAATTATTTAATATTTAAAAAAATAAACATTCTTTTATAGTAATAAAAAGGCTGTTAAATAACATTTAACTGCGGTAGTGGTAGAGCGGTATGCGGTATGCGGTGGTTATGTAGTGGTAGAGCGGTATGCGGTAGTGGTGTAGTGTAGAGCACTCGCTTCATAAATGAGTGGTTCCGAGTTCGATCCCCGCCACGTCCCTGGTAGTACCGCCCTCAACTCGTTTCTCCGTGCAGCGACCTTGTTCGTCAAGGTTCGTGTTTCGGAGTTATAGAGTTGAGAGAGGGTTATAGCCACAAAATAAGTAGCCTCCTCGTCTGTAGTGGCCGTCTCTGCCTTGAGAAGGTGAATTAAAATTAAAAAAAAAAAAAAAAAAAAACTCAATTTGCGGTAATTAATATTATTGCAGTAATTTAAAAATGTTGAAGAAAAATTAAGAGATGTTTATAACGTCAAGTATCGCGTTGAGTTAATCCATTACGCATTTTTTATTTAAAACAAGGCTTGCAATATAGACCACATTTTTTTAGATTTTTTTTTTGTATTATTTATAAATATTAATAATTTTCAGCAATGTTATTGAAAAGTGTGTTACTCATGCTTCAAGACAGGAAAGATCTCTTCTCATAGATGAAGTTACAAACTATCCTGATGGGTATGGGTTAATTTTTTGAGCATTTTATTTATTAATATATATTTAAATTAACTTTTGAGAAATTAAACTTTTTTTTTTTTTTTTTCTTATATTAGTGTTTAATATTCATATCAGTTCATGTTAATGAGTGTTTAATATTCATATCAGTTAATAATAAGTGTTTTCTCAAACTTAGTTTACTTTCTCTCAAACTTAATAAAAAAACAGTTTATTTTATTATACTTGAGTATAATATAGAGTTCGATAAAATATTAGTCTAATTTGGTTGTATACAATTTAAAAAATCTAGTTTATTCAAAAAATTGCTACATTTTTGTATTAAGAAAAGTACACATACTTGTATATAACATACATTTTACAATACATATATATATATTTAAATATCTTGCCCACACTCCCCTAAAAATGGTTTCGGGAGCAATATACAGCTCTCACTAAAGTATAATTTTTCTTGTGTAACTCTAATTATTGTTTTAACTAAAATAAAAAACACAATGTCATTTGTAATGTAAAAAAAAAAAATTAATTGCATAATATGCTGCAATGCTTTTTAAAAGACATATATATATATATATATATATATATATATATATATATATATATATATATATATATATATATATATATATATATATATATATATATATATATATATACATATATATACATATATATACATATATATATATATATATATATATATGTATATATATATATATATATATATATATATATATATATATATATATATATATATACATATATATACATATATATACATATATATATAGATATATATATATGTATATATATATATATATATGTGTGTATATATGTGTATATATATATATATATGTATGTATATATATGTATATATATATGTATACTTCAGGGCATACTATGTTATATACAAGTATGTGTACTTTTCTTAATACAAAAATGTACTTCTGAATGATATATATATATATATATATATATATATATATATATATATATATATATATATATATATATATATATATATATATATATATATATATATATATATATATATATATATATATACATATATATACACATATATATATATATATATATATATATATATATATATATATATATATATATATATATATATATATATATATATATATATATGTATTTGCCTATGCGTTCAGCAGTTATGCGTTACGCAAAAACTTTTATCTTTAAGATTATTTAAATTATCTTTTTATATCGTTTATGTGACATTCATAACTGCTGAACGCGTAGGCAAATACATATATATATATATGTATGTATATACATATATATACATATATATATATATATATATTTGCCTACGCGTTCAGCAGTTATGCGTTACGCAAAAACTTTTATCTTTAAGATTATTTGAATTATCTTTTTATATCGTTTATGTGACGTTCATAACTGCTGAACGCGTAGGCAAATACATATATATATATATATGTATATATATGTATATATGCATATATATACATATATATATATATATATATATATATATATATATATATATATATATATATATATATATATATATATATGTATTTGCCTACGCGTTCAGCAGTTATGCGTTACGCAAAAACTTTTATCTTTAAGATTATTTAAATTATCTTTTTATATCGTTTATGTGACGTTCATTCAGAAGTATTAAAGTCGTAAGTAAAAGCATTCAACCGCAATTGTAAACTAATAGATTTTTTGTTTAAGAAACAATTTGTTTAATAATTTTTTTTTTGTTTTTAAAAATTACTTAAAGAAAATAAAGTGTTTTAAATTTAAACTTTTCATCATATTTAATTTTAAATATTAGATTTCATAAGTTTATAAACAATCAAATTTAAAAAAAGAAATATTTTCAATTTATTTTAATAAATTTAAATATTTTTTTAATAATTATAGTTTTTAGTAAATAAATTTATTAAGTTTAATTAAAATTCTTTCATTTAATTTTAAAACAGAGCATTTTAAAATGCTCCGTTTTTTTTATAAAATTACCAAAGTAAAAAAAGATTTGATAAATTTAATTCAAGTTACTTTAAAATGTTCGTATTACATATAACTTTATTTTAATTTTAGTTAAGTTTCAGGTAAGTTCCAAATACTGGTCTGAAAGATGCGCTTACAAAAGCGCATTATTTTCCAGTTTTTATTTTTCCATTATTTTACAGTTTCATTCATTATTTACAGAAGCGCATTATTCGTTTTATAACTACAAGTTAATAAATGACGTCAATACTTTTAAACTCGAGTTATAAATGTTATGTTTGGGTTTTCCCTTTGCCGTTTGCCAAAGAATTTTTTTTATAAAACAAACCAAGGACGTATTAATAATACGTCTTTGAACAAACTAAAATACAAACCTATTAAAAATAACGTGATCAGTAAATAGACTCTTTAAAAACCCAACTTATCTTTATTTTATTTTAAAAACAAAACTAGTACTTGAGCTATAAATATAAGATACATAAATTTCAAAATTATAATGATATTTGTTAAAAACAAATTCTGCTTATAACATCTAAAAACCGAAAACACTATATTTTTTTTTTGGATTGAGAAAAAAAATATTAGGTTTCACTGTACATAAAAATAAAATAGTTTAATGGAAATAAAAAAAAAACAAAGCCGAAAAAGCAGTAAATTTCGTTTCTTTACAGCATTTATTTTATCAAAACAAACGTTTTTTTTTTAAAAGGGAAAACCCAATCTATGCGTTTAGTTATAAGTACATTTAAATCCCTTTAAGAAAGTCAACCATAAACAAGTGTTAAATTTAAATTGTTAAAAAAAAATAAATAAAAAAAAAAACAACCATAAAACGAATGTTTAAAAGCAAAAAAATTAAGTTTAAATAAGTATAAGATTTTAATACAAGAAGACTTTTTTTTAGCAACATTGAAATTTTTTTTTTTTATAACAGCATTGTACAATTTAAAGCTATTTCGTTTCAAAGACTAACAATAGTTTTTAATGTCATTTTAAATTTAATTACAATGAAGTAAAAACGCAACTGACGTAAATTAACTTTTAACAATGTAAATATCTGTATTAAG